TATATCTCCTGTAAACTTTTTAATGTTATAATTATATTTTTAAATGTGATTGCACAGTTATAATGATAATAAAAATTAGTATTTGAAATGATGAAATCAATATGCTAAATATGAAAAACAAAAAAAAATCTTCATTTTATTTTGTTACAATAGCTAATATTTAAAAGTAATTGATTGAGCAATTTCTTTTTTATATAACTCTGTTTAAGAAAACCTTGAAAAGTAAAATCAAATGAAAGACCTATGTAAGTTAAAGGGAACATGGGTATTTAATTTGAAAGAATTTTTAATATCTATATCATTGGTTTGTTAAGCTGCCCCCCCCCACCTCAATTAATATAATTGAATCAAATCATTAGTAAAAATTAAGCAATCTGAATGAATTGAGTAACGGGTTCTTATTTGTGAGCAGATATTGAATATTTCCTATAATATTCAGTTAGGGGATAGCTATATAGTGATTGTTCAGGTTTCTCTGAAATTTCATAACCTTTCATGACATTAATATATAATGGTCATTACCAGGTGGTATGTTATAATATTAGGATTTGCAAGTACCACATGTCAGTCAACCATTCAATAATTAAGAAATTGAAATGCATAATTATTCTCATGTTGCTGATCGTTTTTTCATTTCATAGTATGTATTCAACTTCTATTATCTAGTATTGTTGACACCTTTTAAAAAAAAACAAAAAAACTTCTAGCTTAGGTGCATAGAAAAGATAAGTAAAATAAATGTGCACTGCCATTGTTTCTCAGTTTTTTTTTTATTTTTGATGTTCATATTTTTATTAGCCTCATAAGGCTAATAAAAATATTTTTTTTAAATATGCTAATTTTTGAGTATTGATTTCTTTTTTAAATATAAGGATAATTCTGTTATTTTTTGCATGTTTCTAAAATCTATGCTACCAGCATTTGTGTATATATATATATATATATATATATATATATATATATATATATATACGCACACACACATAGGTAACTCAATAAGTCTGTGTAGCATAATTAGGAAAAAAATAATTTATTTTACAAAAATATTTCTTTTTCACTATAATGTCTTTACTTGTTAATGCACTTAATTCAGTGGTGAATACTCATTCTTGAATCAAACATTTTACAGCAAAAATTAGAGATCAAAATTCAGTTAACTATATTAGGCTGCAGACTCCTTGATCTAACCTGGTGCGTCTGCATTTATTTATCTATCAGCTAAGTCATAAATTTCATATTTTTATCCATCATATATATATATATATATAACTTTAAACATTATTTTTTTTAGTGTATATCCATATTTGCATAGACGTTTTGTTAATGTTAAACAGTATTTTATTTTCTCTGAATATTTGAGAAATTTTATTAAAGAAAAATGTGCCCTCTAGCAGTATTTGAAGCTGCTTCCCCCTTTGCTGGAGAAACCATCATTAGATCTGATGTACTTTAACTGACACTATTCCAAAGGAGGAACAAATCTTGCTTGATGGCACATTTTTCTTTTAATAAGATTTCTCAAATATTCAGGTGGGTACACAAAATAAAATAGTTTAAAATAAATGGAGCATCTGCTCAAATATGGGCATCCACTAAAAATAATGTTTAATTTGATAAAAATCTTGGATTAATAAATAGAAATCCATTATTTCTTTAGAAATATATGTATAGGTTTGGTTGAGGACTAACAAAAATTTTTTTTTGAAAAGTACAAATAAAAAACACTATATAAACAAAAATATAGACTCCATTAAATTATGTTATTGTAACTAGATTTGTCATAATTATAAATAAAATGAAAATGCCATTAAAAATATAATTTATTTATATATATATATATATATATATATATATATATATAGTGAAATGTTTTGATAATTAATGTTTCTTTAAAATTGTGCTTCACATTTTTTTATTAAAAATATTGTACCTCGAAAGAGCAGGTTAGCAAGTATCAAATTTAAAAAATTAAGATGCAGATATTACCTCTTTAATTTTGACTAATTGAGGAACAAACAAAGCATTTAAAGCATATTTCTTAATAGTGTTTATGTTAAATATTCAACCGGTGTGTTTGTTTCTGTATTTTTTTTTTATTTGAGCTTTAAAACATTTTTGTGATTGTTTTATTAGTCAAGCATGCTATCACCTGTTCCTGCTATTTTCCTGCTGTTGTTATGTGTATATTTTAATTATTATTCTCTCTTGTCTTGAATGATTTCTTTGCTACTAACTCTTTTGCTAATTGACATGTTTGCAGAAAGAAACAGAAAAACAATTGTTCAAAAGATTGTTGTCAATAACCAAGACAATCACTCTGTTCTATATATTCACATTTTCATAAGATTGTTACAATATAGCTATAATTCTACAAACATCTTTATCTCTTTTTCTTTATCATTTTCATTGAAATTGTTTTTGAGAAGTCATATATTAAAAAAAGGAAAATTGGTTAATGTTTTAATAATTGGAAAGACAATATTGATTAATGAATAAGTCTTACCAAAGTTAATAAAAATTACTATCAAATTTATACAGTAAAGTTAATGCTGAGAATTTACTATTTACTATAAAAGCATTTAAAAAAACCCTCATTCTATTTTGTATTTCTTTTGCTCATTAGTTTTTTTCTTGAATACAGCAACTACTGTATTTGAAGTTCCTTTCTTGTCACTTTTAATTCTGTCTATTTTTAATGCATTAATTAAATTTTGTATCTCTTAATCATATTTTTAAAAATATTTTTAATTTCTCAACTTCAAATAATATACAAATTTTTTTCAAAGTTATTATCTGTACTAGATTAAGAGCTTATTTTGAATAGCTACTTTCTTCAGTGTACTGTTTGGGTTGTACTATCAATTTTGTATTTCAGTTCATACTAGACAATCATGTCACTTGTTGAGTCACCTTTTTGAAAGAAAATGCTGTTAGAAAAAAAAAATCAAATTGAAATTGCCCCATCATAAATTGCATTACCTTTTGTGTATTATGTGCAAAAAGAATTATTTTTTTTAAAATTTTTTTTTATTATTTTTTGCTTTATTTTACCCCCTGATTTTTTTTTTTTTTAATCAAATACAAATAAGGGTTAGTACTTTATAATTAGCATTTAATAGCTACCTCTCTTGAAAATCTTTGAGTTTAGTGTGAATGCTGAGCCCATACAATATTATCATACATTTGCAAATCACTGAGATATTTTTCCCTTTAAGTTACTGTATTTTTGACTAATGCATTGATTTGGCCACATTTACAAACACATAAATTTCATATTATTTTTATGGTTATTTGATATTTTACATGATATTGCAAAAGCTAAGAAACTGATGAGACAAAGAAGTTTTTTATTAAAAATATAATCAGAATATTAATATTCAACTATAGTATCAATGAATATTAAATAAATATTTAAAATAGACAAAGTTAATTGTAATTCAACTCTTAAGCAAAACAAAATCGAAGATGTGTATTTGTATGTTATAGCATCTGAAGACAATAGACTAGATTGTTAGTTCAAAGGAATTGTTGAAGAGCAGTCTTTTATCTAACGAGAATTGTTTAATCAGTTACTTTGTTTTTTTAACACAATTATTCTATTTTTATTTGTTTATTTTTAATTTGATTTACTGAAGGGAAGTAAAATAAAGCTTGTGCATAATTGATTATTTTTGACTAGTATTATTTTCGTGGAACTTAAAACTGTATTCTCTTTATCTTTCTGGACAATGATTGTTTTTCTTGTTCCTTATATTCAAACTTATTAATTAATGTGCTATTTATATTTGTTTCTCAGCTAATTATTTAAAATGAAAGAATTTATAGCTTTCAGTTTTTCTTTATTGTTTATATTTGTTCATTTTCATCTCTAATGCTTATTATTCACCCTTATGCTTAATATTTACCCTTCAGCTCATATTTTATTTAGTGATAAATTTATGCACAAATCTTTCACTTAAAATCATTGTATACTAGTCAGGTATTATTATGCAAGTTAATGTTCTCACACTGATAAATTTTAAATTTATTTTGATCTTTTTGTTCAATCTATTTTTGAGAGGAAAAATGGCCACAATTAGCACACATTTATTGTGACCAGCAGCAGAAATAGTTGACAAGTGTTTGGTGTTATCTTTCTGCCACCCATGCAAATTTAAGCTGGGCACAAGACACAGTTCCTTGGTGTGGACTTTCTAGACTGGCAAGCAGTATCCTTGGTGGATTTTTAATAGTACAATTCACTTTAGCTATAAATTTGTGGCCTGACACACAATGCAGTTCACAACAGTCAGGTGTCTTGTTGTGACTTAAGGTTCATTTGATGGTGGTTCTAAGGTTGTTCTAACACACAACATATGTAGTTTGTGTTAATGGTTCAATTGTGACAGTTCGAGGTTAGTATTTGTGGTGGTTCATGCAAATTTTTAAATCACTCAAAAAATTTCTAGGATAATAAGATATAAAAATGCTTTTATGTGTGTATCATGTTTGCATGAAAAGGATTTACAATATTTTATTTTATTTAAAGATACACAATGTTAATTTATTTTTTAAATTTTAGGCCTTTTTTTGTTTTTAAAATTAACCACTAGTTTGTTATGAATAAACTTGTTTTGAGTGGTATTTTAAAATATACACTTACATCTCATTTTTATTTTATGACTTCAACTGATTTATACTTTTTCCTTGCTATTAATACCTGCTACTTTAATCACCATAATTCATCCCAGTTTTTTTTCAAATCTGAATTGCTTCTGCATACATTTTGCATCATAAAATATATAAAGTGAATGAAAACATTTATTTGCTTTTGAATGATTAATCTCAATTTCGTAATTATTTTCATTGATAACATCATCTTTTGTTCATATTTATTATTTCACTATGTTTATTTTCTTGTATGAAAAATATTTTATTTTCATAATTTTTGTTGCAAAAATAAATTTCTTCATAGATTGATGAAATCATTATGCATGGCTCATTGTGGATATTATTTTTAGGAATCATTAAGTGTGGAAGAGAAGATGTTGAAATTACAAGAAAATTTAAAAGATAAAGATGAACTTAATTATAAATTGAAAGCTCTGGCTGTGAAAGGCAAAAAACAGTATGAAGAGATGAAAATTCAGGTTGGTATCAGAATTTATGGAAGCAATAAGTCAAGTGAAAATGTGGAAGTGCTTCTAACTTATTAAGCTTTCAGAATTTTCTCAGTGTTTTATATTCTTTTCAAGAATTTAATATATATAAAATTCTCCAATTGTTTATTTCCTTTACAAAACATTAAAAATAAATTTTGAAAAAAATAGATTACTTAAGAATTATATTTAAATGAGAAAAAACTGTTTAATTGACAATATCAATAAAATTGGTTTATTTTAACAGCAATTATATTTATCTTACTCTTATGTTTAAATATTCCAAATCTGATCTTGACATAATATCAACTTTGTATTCTATTTCTACATATATCTATAAGATTGTGAGTTTATTCAACTGTATGTTCATCGTAAAACATATTCTTTATTTGGTGATGGTGCATTGTTTTGCTGATAATTAAGATGAGTATATTTTTGAATAACAAATATTATCTAGTTTTCAAAATTAAATAAAAATGCATGTTCCAAAAGTGAAACAAAGCAAATAAAATATAGTACGAAAAGTTAAAAAAATTCTGAAAATAGTCAAATAAAATATTTTTCTTGTTTGTGAGAACAGGTAGAAAAAATAAATGAAGAAAAAAAGGCATTAGAGGAGCAACTGCTTGTGGCAAAAGAAAATCTAAGCCATTTGGAGAATCAGAATATTGAATCAGGGATTATGTCAACTAATTACAAGGTGAGTTGTGCTTTTTATCAAGAGAATCCCAATAAAATGACTGTCATATATCTATTAACATATGTAAATTGATTCACTCTTTTTGAAATATTAATATTTTTTTTTTTTTATAAGAAATATGAACCAAGATTTTTGTTGGAGATTGTTGAATGTTTGTCTTTATCTTTGCTGATTTTCCACATTTTGCTTAGTCCAATTTTTCTTTTTTTGCTTTCTTCAGGGGAATGTGTCTTGGTTAAAATTTTGTTGCTCTCATTTTGTTCATAATCTTTTTGAGTGTCAAAAGTTGTTGACACTTTTATGAACTCATTTGTTTTATTGAGTGTTGATATGGTACTGTTTGTGTAAAATCTCATTTCTTGTTGCTTTTACTTTATTTCTTATTTTATTTACCACTTTGGACATGCTATAGACATGTCTTTCTTCGAATGTGTAATCTTTGCTTGATTCCATAGTGGGATCATTGGTTGACATTGAATTATCGGCTATTACAGACTAGTTTTGATGTTTTTATTTTTTTTATCTTTCTTCTGTTGACAAAATTCCTTTTTTTCTTACTACTCTCACACTAGGCCTGCTAATGGATTTTTTTTTATAATATTATATGCATAAGACTTGCCCATTTTTTTAAAAAAATTTCCAATGTGGTTCCATATTATTATTATTATTATTATTATTAAATAAATAGTAATTTTTTTCTTTTTCCATCTCTGTGTAAGCTGGATAGCTGTTTAAGATTTTTTCAAATTGTACGTGGTAATTGTCTTTATACCTTTTACTCTTAGCTGTAATAAAATTGGCCATGACAATGAGATATGGTTCATAACAGCATGCTAAATTTTAAGCAGATGAACAAGGATCTATAATGAACACATTCACCTGAAGAAGGACAAAGAATGAACAAACAAAAGGTAAAATAGCAAAACAAGACAAACCATTAACCAATAGAAAAAGGTCTGTGTATAATAATTTTCTCTCTCTCTCTTTTACACTCTTGTATATATTTTTTTTTTTTTTTACACTTTCTTGGCCTAACCCACATTCCAAAATCTGACTAAATATCAGAATTTTTGTTGGAATTTTTTCTTGGTTAGGTCAAGAACTTTCAACACTCCCTCATGGGTAACAAAAAAGATAAATATTAATTTTAGGAATATCAAATGGCTTTGTGGTTAGGAATAGAAGAATTGAATTTTCATTCTCTATCAGAAATATAACTAGAAATAGTAGAACAAAAGCATATTTGAGATACTTAATGTTATTTAATATTTGTTTTAGTCTTAATTGTTTTGCTTTATTATTTTTACTTAGTGCTGTCATATATTTTAACAGCTATCTTGATTATTCTTAAAAAGAATTCCAAATGCTTGCAATTGACACAGCCAGCAGAAAGTGAAAATATAAGCTGAAAGAGAAAAGAAATATTAATAATCATTTTTCAAAAGCACACACAAACTATTAAAATAACAAGATCTTCATAATTAGTAAAGCTGAAAAAATAACATTGAGAAGTACTCAAATATACTTTGATATTTTTTTCCATATGCAAATAAGGAGAAAATTTAAAATATTCAAATAATATCTTTCAACATTTTTTAAAGCCATATCTTTAATTTATTATCACATTTAAAAGTTAGAGCTTAATTGTAAAGAATATTAATCTAAAAATTGTCTAAGTGCAGATGTATATAAATTGACACATGAATTGGTAGTTAAAATGTTAAACTTTTAGCAGTTTCTACCCATAATTCCCAGTAAAATGGCTTTTGTGCTTTTGTGTTATTTTCTTTGGAATTTACTTGTTTGTCTTTTTTAGATTTCATCGTTGGAGGTAAGCTTTTGTGAAATTGGATTTTGTTGATACTGGTCAAAATGAGATATGAGATGGTATCTTTGGTGGGTCTTTTCACTGTTTTTAATTATGGAATTATCTTTGGTAAGAGGCTAACAAATGGAATTGTAAGGACAGCTATCAGTTTTTTAACTTGTCCATGCTATTTGTTAATTGAAATCCTTGCAAGGTGAATTCTGTTAAAAAATAAACCACTTCTTTGTACCATGATTAATGATGATAAATTTTATCTGTCTTCTGCAAGAGAAAGCAATAAAACATTTTGCAGGATGCTTACATACAAATAAACATTTATTCTACAATTATCTGCATAAAATATAGCCAGATTTGATATAGGTATGCAGAATCTATGAAAAGTTACTTATTGAGTTACTAGACTACCATGTTTTTATTTCTTTTTATTTTTCTATTTGTTATTACCAGCAAAAAATAATTTCAAACCTGGAAGTCTTATTAAATTGAATGACGTATTCTTTTTTAATTATACAATTAGAATTCTACCAATATTGAAAATTGTCAGCCCCTCAGACAGCTACTGCAGAACTAATCAAATTGCAGAACCAGCTCACCAACGATTTATTGTTATTATCTAACCACTAATTTACATTTTCAAGGATCAGAATGTACACGGTCAGTTAGCCACTTGACTGAATTCTGATAACTTCCTGAAAAATATTCTTCCTCTAAGATCACTAGAGAATGTCTTCATCTAAACAAAATATATGGCCATTTTGATTTTGGTTGAGAATTTTGTTTTTGAAAACACTTTCTCTGAAATTATTTTGGCTTAAACAATACCAGTCTGATATGAACAACTTAACCCCAAAAGATTTTAAAGATAATATTTTTTTTTTTAATTTCAACTGAGGAAGTAATTTATCAGTTGTTATCAATCATTTTCACCTGATTTGGTGAGCATAATGGGTAGTTACAGATATCCAAATATTCTAAGTTTCAGTTTCAGTTTATTCAGTTTCATCTCCTTCCACTTAACCAATCTCCTTCCACTTAACCAATCTCATTTCTCAAAACTTTCTTAATTAGTTCTTTTTCCACATTTAATTTTAATAATTATTAAATTCAATCAAATCTTTACTAACATTTTCCCCTGTTCTGTGCCATAAAATCAAGCCTTACTGCATTTAACTCTGTCCATCACTGTCAAATCACCTTAGGTTTCTCAACACTGTATAAGTGGGTTACTACTGACTTTTTCACCCATGAGTATTTCATTATATATTTATTGGAATTTGTATAGGAGATAATTATTTCACAGCATATATGTAAATCTATTTTCAAATTTGTTAAAAAAAAATTGTTTTGAGTCTCAATGTTTATTTGGTTTTGTTTATTTTTGACTAATTGTTTTTGTATTGACGATTTTCTCCGTTATCATTCAAACAGTTTTAATAACAATAATAAAAAATGGTCTTATATATATTTGGCAATGGTTTTATACTATTTATTTATTATTTCTCAGGACTGTAACTAAATATCTGACAATATAGGAATGTCTCTCTCTCTATATCCATCTGCAAACATTTTTGATTTTGGTAATTTTAATGCTCATCATATCAAGTGACTTAATCATTCTAATGTTAATGATGTTGCTGGTATTCAGACTCTCAATTTTTCCATTCTCTTGGCAATTCAGATCATGCTGTAGTATCTGCTGATATTTCTTTTGAGTTGGCTTTTAGAAAGGAACCTTGTATTCGCAAAACCTTCCTGTTACCAGCATACTGATTGGGATTCATGTGACTGACTTCAAGACACTCATTGTATTGATATTCTTAACCTTCCTATTAAGAAATGTGCCACAGAGGTTCTTGGGTTAAAGCCAGCATCACTGCTTTTTGTTTTAAAAAAAAAAAAAAAAAAGATCAGGAATGAAAATAGGCTAAATCTGTGAATGAGAAATACGTTTGTGTTTTTTAGAGATCAATAATCTTAAAAGAAAGTAGATGAGCATTCTCAGATTATTCTTATTTAATTAGTTTTTCTTTGAATTAAAATCCGTACAATCTAGATATTAACCAAAGAAGGTTGGTTTAGTTTATTAATTATAAACAAGACAATTATTGCAAAAGTTTATTGAATAGAATATTAAATATTTTGAAGAGAAAAAGCCAACTTGGATGTTTTATTGAACCACATCATCAAGATTATATCATTCCTTTGATATCATTATTTAAAGAGCATTTCTTTAAAACTTCCTGGTATGTTTCTGACTTAAACCATGTTTCACTATATATTTATATAAATAAAACTTTGGTCCCCCACATACCAGTCTGCATCAACATACACAGATGACATGTACACATGCATCCATCTATAATGTTTCAACTGCTATTAACATTTTTTTTTTTTTTTTTTTTTTGGTCATATTATGCCTTATTAACATCTCTTTTGTATACACACATACACAAACTGCATGTGTAGAATATATAGATGGTGTGGTGGTGGTGGTGTTATATCTAACTTCTACTTCAGCCTATTCAGTAAGAAGCAATTAAAACAGTCTTGCTTGTTAACTAATATTATGTTTTTTTTATTTATGAAAAACTAAAAAAACATTTTTTTTGAAAAAGTTATATTTGTTGCTGTGATGTAAAAAAAAAAATAATTTCCATTACTAATATATATATATATATATATTAGACACACGCACACAAAGTGCTGCACAAAAGAGTAAGTGAACCCCTAAGGTAATGTTAAAAAAAAAATTGTCTTTTTTTCCAGATAATGAAAATTTAAGATTTGTTGATTAAGAAAAACCTTTTATTAAATGATTTACAACCATTTTCAAAAATTTTTTTCAATCTCAAATAAAAATATTAATTAAAAATTATGATTATGTATTTTTGTTTTACATGGATGCATGTGTAAATAATTTTTTTGTGCACATGTAAAAATCAAAATGACATGTGTTCAAGCTTTGCCTCAACTATGCCAAATATCATATTAATAAGCTAGAAACATTTTTGCAAAAAGTTTTAAGGTTGAGACTAAACTAGAGCTTTTTGGAAGAAACAATAAACGGTATATCTGGTGAGCTCCTAATACAGCTTTTGAAGAGAAGAATTTGGTGCCAACAGTTAAGCATGGTGGCAACGTTATGATATGGAGGTGCTTTGCTTCTGCTGGAACAGGCAAATAGAATGCATTAATGGCACAATGAACTCTGCAAGATACCAAGCAATTTTGAACAAAAGTCTTACCCTTGGATCAAAAGTTGGGTTTAGGTTGGGGCTGGATCTTCCAACAGAACAATAATCTGAAGCATCAAGGCAAATCCACAAAAGAATGGGTTTGTAAAAAAAGAAATTTCAAGTCTTGGAATGGCATTGTCAAAGTCCTGATCTAAACCTAATTGAAAATCTCTGGGACAAGTTAAAGAAAGCAGTACATGTAAGAAACCCAGCAATTGTGGGAGTTTTTGCCAAAAAGAACAGTTAAACGTTGACACTTACTACTGCCAGGAACTTAAAAATTATAGAAAAAAGCCTGGTCAAAGTCATGACTTCAAAAGGGGGAGTCACCAAATATTAAATGTAACAGTTCACTTTTGCACATCTTAATTTTTAATTAATTTTTTTCCAGCTTGATAAAATTTTTTGAATGTGGTTGTAATTCATTTAATAAAGGTTTTTCTTAATGAATATATAGTTTAATTAAGATTTGTTGATTATATGGGGAAAAAGAGACAGATTTAAAATATTATCTTAGGGATTCACTTTTAGCAAACATGTATATATATATATATATATATATATATATATATATATATATATATATATATATATATTGAATTTTTTTTTTTATCTTATTCTTATTTGTTTATATATATTTATTTACATTTTTTAATGTATTTATTATTTTATTTGATAAATTATGTATTTATTTATTTTAAATATAAAGTTTTTCCTTTTAAATTTAAAATAAATTGTGGTAATGTATGTTGGCTTGGAAAAGGAGTATATCTTTTAGGAAAGGAGATATTTGAAAAGATCTAGGGCTTAAAATCCTCTATAGTTTACCTTTACTTTCACATTTAGCCTGAAGAATATTTATGAAGCTTCTTAAATTTAAATATATGATTGATAACGTTCATCAGACAAAAATAATGTTTCTCTTGGTGGAAAATATGTGTAGGAGGGGGAGATATAAAAATGCAAGTGTCACTTAAAATTCTGTGCCAAGAGAAAATACTAAAGATGTGGGAATATTGGAATTTTAAATTTAGATTTTTTTATTTATTTATTTATTTTTCAGATATATTTGTAAATGATCTCATTTAGTTTCTTATACATTTGTTTTTATCCCTTTTATTATTAACTATCCTATATTGTGATGACAGACCATCTGCCAAGAAAGGTGAAATATTGTAAAAACCTGGACAAAAATTTACTATGGATAATCTAGCAATCAAAGCATTTTCTGTACATTTTTGCCTTAGTAAATTGCCTTCTCTTTTAATTATGTAAAGCAATTTACTATGGCAAAAATGTATAGAAATTTCTTTCATTTCTAGATCTTACAACATTTCACCTTTTTTTGCAAATCTTCTGTATGAGATGCTTAATAACAAAAGTGATATAAACAAAAGCATCGAGGGGGGGGGAGGAAACTGAATGAGACTGGCTAGACTTTGTATATCCAGACATGCAGTTTATTTTAAATTTCAGTGTTCTCACATTTTCATAATTTCTTCTTGGTGTATAATTATAACTGAAGCTCGCATTTTTATCTGTTACCCGCCTATATATCAACAGAAACAATACTTTAGTCTGATGAATTTCTTCTAGAGGATGAAATGCATTACACGGAATTTTTTCCATTTGTCATTTATTTACCTAAAATTGTTATGATATATATATATATATATATATATATATATATATATATATAAGACAATTGAATGACAAACTAGAATAGTTCTGTGTAACACCTTTCATCCTATAAAAGGACTTCATTGAACTAAAGTTCTCCCCTTTACATATAAAATTCTATCAGTAAAAATATTTCTTTAATTTGAATTCCTTTTAGAGGACAAAAAGGATTACACAGATTTTTTTCCCCTTGTCATTCAATTTTTGTTGCTTTCTAATGCACAAAACTTATACTATTTTTAGCTTCTCTTACTTATATTTGACAAAACCCACTTAAATTTGTTGAATGTCTCATGGGACAGCTGAGAGTATGACTGACCAAAAATTGATAATTTGCCGACAATAACCAAAGTTTATTCCTAATATTAAAAATTTGTCATTTAACAGGCAACACTCTTGTTAATGTAGTAAGTATCAATGATACTTATTACACAGCCTATTGCTATTAATTATATTAAAAGTTACTATTTAAAGATGTTGCATAATTTTATGCTTACCTTATCATTGTTGAAAACTGGTATAAATAAGTTAAATTATTCTACCAATGTAGAATTGATGTGTATTAATATCTGCCACCAATATTACTGATAAACTTATGTTGTCTCCAGAATTGCTAATATCTGGCTTAACATATTAATGAGTGAACTATTGCTTTATCAATTCAGTTTTAGTAAACATTGTGTTAAATATCTAAGATAAAAATAATAGTTGAAAAATGTTTGGAAAAGTTCAATTAATTTCTTAACTGGACTTGACAGCATTGAATCATCTATAAACATGATCATGAATTTGAAAACTTTGATCTTTTCTTATTTTTACCTTCTCTTCATATTCTTATTATTAGTTATTCTTACTATCAGTTGAGAAAGGTATATGATTTTAGGCTTGATGAAATATGATACTCAAGAGTTCTTTAACTTGAATATGATCTTTATATTCAATTGCAGCATTTACAAGAAGAATATGACAAGTTGCATGATATTCTTGAAGCTGAGCAAAAGAAATCAACCAATTTCCAGAAAGATCTTGAGCAGAGTGTCCAGGATCTTTTGGAACTAAAAGAAAACTATGGAGAATTGAAGAATGAAAAAGAGAAGATTAATCGACAATTGGAAGTAACTAGTCTTGAAAATAAGGTAAAATTAAATTCAGTGATTTTGTTTTAATGTTTTCTCTTATTTCTATATTTGCCTATATGTTTATGAAGCTATTTTCCTTTGTGTGTGCATATTTTATATAAGTTTGGATTAAAGACTAACAAAAGTTAATTTTTTTTTTTTTTAAATTTATTTCTATTATATTTCAGGCCATTTTTCTGATTTCCAATACATAATATGAATTGTCCAATGTTTGATTACTTTTGGTTTTCATAAACCATTATCAAAGGGCTTTGTTTTTATATACTAAGTTGGTTTTATCATTTTCAAATATTGCATTATTATGTATTATGTTTTCACATAACTCTTCACATATCATATAGAATACAACAAAAAAATGAAAACTTAAACAAGTCAATGTTTATCCATGAATTCACTTGTCCTCTTGGAAATATTTTTCTAATAATAATAATTAAAACAACACATACATAAGTTACATAACCAATATATTATCACACCCATTAATATGCTATTTATCTGATAATAGTTCAATTAAATTGCATACTGCCAACAAGAAATCTGGTAAATTCTTACCATCAATACAAAAATGCTATATCACATAAAATGTAAAAAATGGCTGAAAATCCTAGAAGCATTAAGCAACAAAATATCATGAATAAAATGATATCAAATTTACTAACGTACATAATTTATTTCATAAAAATGCATAACACTAAAAATCACATAAATTGACACAATATTTTAAACATAGCACAAAAAAAAATTCTTTGATCAATGGTTTATGAAAGCTGAAAGTACTCAGATGCTGAAAAAATTATATTTAGATATGTACTGGGATCCATGAAAAATGCTTCAAAATATAAAAAAAATTTTAATAAAAGAAATTCATTGGTCTTAAACCAAACTTGTCTAAATTAGAAATTGCTGTTCAAATACACTATATATATATATATATATATATATATATATATATATATATATATATATATATATATATATATATATATAGTGAGCATTGAAGTCAACACCCAGAAGTGGCAATCTGTTCCATGCTAAACGCAATCGTCAGGCCATGTGTTTAGCATGAAGCAGACTGTCGCCTCTGGGTGTTGACTTTAATGTCCACTTTTATATTTACATACGCTATATCCCTGATATTGAGCATTTTAACCCCTAAATATAGCATACTGTAAAACTATATTTTATCATATATATATATATATATATATATATCCTGGAAACTTAAACAGAAAGAAAAATTTAAAGTTAAATTTTTAAGAATTTGATCTTGAACATTAAAAGCCAGAAATAGTAACATTAAATTCTAATGAATATCATGTAACTTGTTAGTGAATTGAGAAGTAGAAAAAAATTCTCTTATGTAGTAAAATAAGTATACTAAAAAGATTTATAAAAAATATTAATAAATAAAACAGTAAATAATAGAAAGAACTGTTAAAATCAAAACCAGTGGTAAATTATAGAAAAGATTTTTTATCAAGCTTAGCTTAGTCTGTCACAGGGCCATACCTAGTGGGGCACCCTGTGAGGATACAGTTATTATACTAATAAAAATAATTTAACATGTGGGTTTATTTTGAATCTTATATATAAAGTACAGTGTGTGTGTGTCCAAGCAACTCTTCCATTTCCACTGGTCTGAATTCAATGATTCATAGCTCATTGAAAAGCCTTAGAAAAGTTAGGCGCAGGGAACAATTTTTGTTGAGCTCATTCAGGGTTCCCAAATTATGTGAGGTTAATAATATATATTAATATATTATTCTAGACATTATCTTTGCTCTCATGGTTCAAGGGGAGTAACTCTTATTTTTCCTTTTGTATCTAAAATTGCAGTACACGTTTTATTATAAATTAGCTTAAAAGCCGCCCTATCGGATGGCATTTAAGCTAACTCCTGTGGAGGACTCTTGGTTTGGCCATCATTACAATAGCTAGGGAGGAGTAGATGTGATAGGCATCAATAAACTATAAAATTGATCACTGCATTTAAGTATTGAATTAATGTTTAAGCTTATCTTTGAAAAGTTCAATGATAATTCTTCTGCTACCACTTAATTTAAAGACGATTTGATGTATGTAGATCCTTATTTTCTGTACAAACAATTATTTTTATTTCATGGGTGACAGAACAGGAGACAATTTATAAGATAAAATTAATATAGTGTAAAGATGGAAAAATAGAAATTAGAATAAGTTATACATTCAACATTTGAAGAGTTAGAGAAACATAATAATAGCTAATTAAGTAAAACCTATATTATGGAATCTATATGAATAAATGCAAAATTGGAGCTCAATTCTCCCATAAATTCTGAGATTAAAAAGCCCCAGCTCTACTTTTTTATTTCTGATGTTACAGAAATTGTGGCACAAGGCTGAGGGGGAAATAGGGGAAGGTTGGGCTTCATTAGCTGTCCTAGTTAATCTGACACATGACCCATTCATTTATTACAATTTGCTCATTCACCACATCCATCACCACTCAATCCAGCATATACCACATATTCACAGGGCACCTACAAAAAAAAAACATGACATAAAAATTTGAAAGTCTGTTTTTTTACAAAAATATATAAAATTTCATGATTCATGAAATGATGGCAGGGGTGGGGGATGAACCCAGAAACACAAATATAAAAATAAGACTGAACAATGTTAGTAGGACCCATGCACCCCTTAAAATAAAAAGAGTGGCTGCAGTAGTCTGCCGATAGACAGAATCAAGAAGCACACTCACTAATAGAAGGATAAAAAATAAATGACAGAATGGGGAAAATCAAAGGCTGATTCAGAAGATGAAAAAACAGGGGGACAAAAACAAACTGGGGAGGCTGGGAATCTGAACATGGGCCATAACAAAAGAGAATGCTGGGAACAAGCCAGGAACAACACTTATTCACATTAACTAGGAAAACATAATAGTGTCTAACTTAACCAGGGGAAGGTTCACAGGAAACCATTCTGTTGCATCAACGGGACTTAAAAGAGAAAATCAAGGCTAGCCCCGTACACATTAATCAGGCCTTGCCAGCTTTTGCAGATAACAACGTAAAAAACATCACCCGTTTTACCCTGGAGAATGGGTGTGACACATTGTCACACATGTATGTGAGATCAATGGACCCGAGCTGATCGGGAGTGATACGAGCTGTCAACTTGCCAACATAATCCCAGGACAATGGTAGAAGGCATGCGAAGCCATTTCCTCTAAGCTAAGGTCACACCGATGACGGTCTGGCAAATCTGCCTCACTCCATCTGAAGATTATGTCATTGAGAGGTAGCACATTCCAAATCAATCACCTGCTATGTGAAAACTTAGTGTTGCTGAGATAATCCGCCAGAGGATCCTTTGTGACCCCCTCCACTAATAGTCTCTGAGCTGAGAAAAGTCACTGGACTGAGGAAGGATTTCAAGGCCAACCGGCATTCACTGAGAAAACTTGACAACCTTCCACAACTGCTTAATGGGAGGAGTGGAAGGCATCTCTAACATCAAAATCAAGCCCTCCATCAAAACACAGTAAAGGAAAGCCAACCTTGAGACATGGCAATCCCAGCCCCCCCATGACACGGATGCTGATAACAAGCTTCTTTACAGACCCAATGTTTGTGACCACTCCACAAGAGGTTGGTCAACAAATTCTCAATCACTTCCATACAGGTCCTGCAAAGAGGAAGTACAGCCAAGTGGTAAAGGATGAGGGGCAAGACGTAAGTGGCACTCGCCTCAGCCCTAGCCTTTAAGGACAATCTCCTTCAGAGCCAAGTCCAGAACGATGCTACAACCTTTGCTCTACTTCCGACCAGTTCTTCAGCTGGAGTCTGGGTCTGAACCACACTCCAAGAATGCGGATGGGTCCATCAATCCAACCAAAGGGCCCTGGAAGCACAACCCCTTTCCAGGCACCTAGCTGAAAGACTTGTTATAGTTAATCTTGGCCTCCGTCACCTTCTTGTACTGTTCAAGTGGCTTCCGTACTACCTCAATTTTGTTATGACACAACATGAAAATGAATATGTCATTGGTATACGCAGAAAAACTGGATGGAGCTCTACTGGAGAAAACAGCGATTCCGCACAGGGCTGGACTGCATGCCCTATCCTTCAGCCAGTGAAGGAGGGGTTCCAACGCCAAAGTGTAAAGTAAGGGTGAGAGCGGACAACCCTGTCAGACTGACCAAGTCAGCGCGAAAGTGCTCGACCGCTTCTCGTTCACCTGTGCCACAGTACTGGGTGAGCGATACAGGAGGCTGATCCACTTGCAGAAGTCAGGTGCGAATCTGGTGGCCTGCAGGACAGCAGCCAGGTATTGATGATCCACCCTGTCAAATGCCTTGGACTGATCTAAATTGATCAACATGGCTCACTTGTCTTTTACACCCTCTATGATCGTGCAGATTAAATGCAGGTTGCTTTGAATTGTTCATCCCCTCACAGCACAAATCTGCTTGGGATCCCAATAAGCTTGCAACAACTGACTGCAAACGCTCTGTCAGGATCTTGGCCAAAATCTTTAACTCTGTGTTTAGCAGAATTATGGGCCTGTAATCATCTAAATACTGCCCAGCATCCTTGCCCTTTTTCAACAGCATGATCATGCCCCTTGGGTATGACCCCCTGCCAGAACCAGTTGTTGAACATGACAGTCAAAATTAGGACAAAGATGTGCGACAGCCTCAAGTACATTTCGTAGGGCTGACCAAGTCCTGGAGACTTGCCCATGCTGACCCTCTTCAATGCCAAGTGAACTTCGCCTTCTGTGATCTCACCCTCGCAGCTAGCCACTTCAGTTGGCAAAAGCTGAAGAAAGTTTGCCAAATAGCTGTGAAACTCATCACCACTGACACCAGGCTCCTTGGTAAAATGTCTCTCAAAATGCTGCCAAAAGCCTCTCACATGTCCTTAGTTGACCATGACTTCCTTCCAGGGTAATGACATCGTGAATGTATTGATTGGAACGTTGATGGATCTCTTCCTTGCACAATTCTCTGCCCATGTTCATGGCCTCGTTAACCATCTTTTTTAAAGTATGTCTAACTATCTGACCCTGGTAGCGCTTGCTAGTCTTAGGGCCTGTCTAGCTATGGCTATTTTTAGGACCCCCCCCCAGTCACCAACTTATCTTAGCTGGTCCAAGCTAGTCATAGCTGTGATACTACGAGCACAGGGACGGATCCATGTGCCTGGTAAGTATCAGTGTGTGCAAACCACTTGAGAGAGCAGTTGATTTACTTTACACCCCCGCTGAGTCAGGTTGTGACACAAGGTCAGTTTTTAATGTGGGGAAACAAGTGTCTTCACTTGGGCTGCTGGTCAGAGCCAGTTCAAGTTAATCCAGTGCAGATCCCTGTGATGGGTAAGTATCAGAATGTGTTTACCATTCCAGTGAGCAGTCTACACACTAGGTATTTACTCCCCACTAAGACGAGTTGTGACACAGTCTTTTTTAGGGTGGGGACCCAATCGCGTACACCCGGGCAAGGAACAAAAATTGCCCACAGCCCCTGCAACCTTTGGTTGTGCTGGCTTCAGTACAAGCACCAGTCTCTTTCTCTGGTGCAATGAAAGGGTGCATCTTTGGGCAGCTGTTCTCAGTATGATTTTTCTTAGTTGCAACTCTGTCCTTTGACGGAGTCGCGTCTGAGTGCACTCTCCCCAAAGACAGAAACACATCTAAGAGATGATAAATAGATGTGTATTTACTTGACTGTGTTAGGTTGTGACACAAGGCTGGTGTCTTCACTCAGGCCTCTGGTCAGAGCTGGTCTAAGCTAGTCATAGCTGTGATGATATACCAGCACAGGGACAGATCACTGTGACTGGCAAGTATCCGAATGTGTATACCCCTTAGGAGTTTACACATTAAAGACTCAATATCTGTATTATGTATTATCTACTTTGAGGTAATTCTTCAAGTTTAACTAATTTGCATATTGATTTTAAAAAAGTTTATTTCATTAACTGTTCTTTTATTTGAGGATTGTTTTAATTTTCATATCAAAAATAGTTCTGTTTAGGAATATCATCTTATATAATGCAGAAAAGTGTTTGCAATTTGCATTTTACTTGGCCTTCAACAAGTTGGCATCTATTTGTAAAACTTTTCCTTAACTATTACAAGCCAATTTATGAATGAAATGTTTATTTAAAATTTTTGTTTCAAAGATTTCAAGTGAATAATCTTACTTTGTGAAGCCTGCCAGTTTTATATAATTTCTTTCTCTTGTTTTTTTTTTCTATCATTTGTCTTCTTATTGCTCTATATTAAAATTATAATTCAAAATGAAGCTGAGAATCTCTTTAATGACCATTATTTGGTCTTTGGATTAAATTTTGTTTCATTACTCAAAAGACAAACTTTAAAAGTGAGCATTTGCTTTTAAAAACTACCCTTATGCTGTATAACAAAATGGTTTAGATAAATTGTATCTTTGATGTTTTATATCTATTTAGAAGTATTTAAACATGTTCTCATCTTTGTTCTTTTAGTCTATGGAAAGCCAGTTAAATGAATTAAACCAAAAATTGAAAACTACTGAAATGGATAAAGAAACATTAAAATTACAGAAAGATGAATTAACAAAAGAAAAAAATGAGGTAAGAAAATCTGTTTATAATAATAAACATCATAATAATTATCTTTCATTTAGGACCTTGATTCTAATTTTTATCTTATGTTGTATCATATTTAGAAAGAGAATGTATCATCAATCTTTTTCTTTCTGCAGAATATTGTCCATATCAGTGTTTGAATTGATTTTCAAAATAAGTTCTTTTTTTCCCATGTTGGTGGGTAATTAATAGTCTGTACACAGACTCCTATCAGTAACAAGCAATATAAGCAGTAATGCAGAGCATGGCTTACCTAGTACAAAACGTGTTTCAGTTGCTGCAGCTGTAACGGGAAATCTGGTTCAAAGCCTACAAGCACACATATGCAACACCTGTCATTTAATGAAATGGACATCACACCTATCCAAATGTATAACACCTTTCACTTACTAGATTGCTTGCTAGAGGAGAGTAGTAATTCTGTAGACGACACCTGTGGGGTGTAGTAGAAAGAGAAAGTGGTACAGAAGACATAAGTAGACGGCCTTCACAACTGGTGCGTTCGCAGCATACAAGGAATTCTTAGTGCACTGGATGCAACTTGCTGAATCTATTGATGTTTATCTGGCAGAGCTATGGAAGCATGCAGTGTTGTTTCATGGTAATCCTGTCAAGTTTGACATCCTAGTGACTCATGAGAGGCTGCTGGGACATGACCTGATGATTAGGATGAATGCTATAAAAGAGATGGGAGGAAATCACTCTATCAGGTGCAGTAGAGTTCTGTCACAGCAAACCACTCCTATGTGTGTCGATAACCATTGATGAACAGAACTTCAGTGGCAAAGGTTTGGACCACAACATTAAAGTGGATGGGAGGTCAAGCCACAACAGTGCTGTGTAATACGATGACAGAATATCCCATATCCAATTTGGTGCTGTGTGAGTAAGAAGGATGGGGCCAAATTATTAGGCTTGTATGTCTGAGGGGAGCATAGTATACTTCAGTGAAGATAAGGGAGCGAGATCCCATCAGTTCCAGTCACCATTACTTGAAGCATATTTTCTATATGCAGGAAACTGCTGGTTACTTTGTGTGTGGCTGGCTCAGACCAGTAATTGCGTTTCTGAAGCGACAGACAAACGCGATGACCAAACATAGGAATGACAAGACTTGCAATGCCTTACTAAAATGCATGTACACTGAAACAGTTATCATAGTACCTCAGGAGGACCCTGTGAGAGGGAAGTGGTGTGTGCATGGTCAAGAAACAAACATGTGGGTTGATGCAAGTTTCCTGGCTACAGCATTGGAAGTTGATGTGGACATCATCAAAGATATGTGTTGGCTGCATCCGGATGAAGACTTACAGCATATAAATCTTGATGCACCTGCTAACTGATTCAACATGTGTACATTGGTGGATCTCAGACACTTAGACTGGGAGGGCGAAAATGTACACCAAAGCGACCACAGAGATGCTAATAAGATGTTGGCTTAGCACTCTGAGGGGAAGGGTCTTGCCAAAGAATATGGCCTAACCACTGACATGTCCTTGGTCAAGTCTAGTGGAAACTGGGCCAATCATCTCACCAGAGTATTTCAGTGATGGCTCAACACAATACAAAAGTAAGCACTACACAGCCTGTGTGAGCCACAGCCGTTGATGATTATACCCAGATAATGATTATCCATCACAAGGTGAACATCCTGACACAAAGTACACCCTATATTTTGTGAGACAGGTCAATCCTGCAATATCCAAGGATGTGGCGTCCTGAGTAAGACATTAAACTACATCTGCATCCTGGGTAAGACGTTAAACTACGTCCAGCAGCAAGGCCTCTGATCAGGAGGTTTTTAGGAGCGTGGAACCACCTCTTAATTGCTGGTGTTCCCAGGTCCACCCTGACCTGGGGTGGTAGCACCTGTTAGGGTCCCAGCTATGGGGAAATAGTTAACTATTACCAGCAATACTTTTTTGAAAAAAATTATTACCTGCAATACAATTTTGAAGGAAATATATTAACAGAAACAGATTTTTCACAAAACAAAATATTACCAGCAATAAAAATTTTTGTCAGCATTAAATAACCCATTGAGGTTGATATGCCATTAAACAAAATAAACCAAACCAATCATACTCTATTCATACAAATCTATCCTAAAAATGTTGTTGGCATTAAATAACCCATTGAGGTTGATATGCTGTTAAACAAAATAAACCAAACCAAACCAAGGATGTGGTTAAAAAAGTGGTGAGACAATGTGAGACATGTCAGTCCATAGATCCAGTATAGTGGAAGACTGGGCGGCTAGATTTAACACACAGTTGGGGCTGAATAGGAGTGGACATGACCCACCTTGGCAGCAGACACTACCCGATGCTGATTGACTGTGACCCTACTCAGTTCTCCCTCTGGCACGCACTGTTTCATCTGGACTCTGTCATCTGGTGTCAATATTTTTTGAACAAGGACCACCAAATGAGCTACTCAGTAACAATGGTGCAGCATTCTGCAGGAGCGCATACAGAAAATTTGCAGAAGGCTGAGAGTGTTCACCTGTAATTTTGATGTGCTTCCTGGTGGAAAATGGCATAGTGGAAAGGTGTCATCACACCATCAAGTGCATTGCCACCAGAAAGCAGTATTCTGTGGAGGAAGCAATGTATCTCTACAATATAATGCTAAAAGTGCAGGTAAAAGGTATAGATGCTGCATCTCCACTGGCATGCGAGGAGAATGCAACCTACAAAATTGGAGATGTATTGTGAGTGAAGGTCCCGCACACATCTGCATATCTAGATTTGAAAAGTGGTAGTAACTGGACACCACAGTCTATGCTCAGTTCTGTTCAATGGGATGCCATGCCATATTAGGGACCTTCGCCCTGTCAAGTGGGTGGACCATGATGGTGAGTCCTCAGAATGTGAGAGCACAGGGGAAGGTGAAAACAGTGAGTCATCAGAACAAGCAATTGTGGTAGAATGCCCAGTGTCACAATGGATGATGATGAATTTTTTAAAGCCCTAATTTAAAGTTAGAAGATTGGGAAGTAAAAGTAAAAAATCAGTTTTCTTTGAATATAAAAATAAGGGACTTTACAGTTTTTTGCTTTATGTCTTCTGATTATGCTAGCTGCTAATGAAATGAAAGTATTTTACCTTTTGTTTTCAAGCTAAAGAATGAGAAAGTGACAAAGAAATAAAATCTCTAATGGTTTAACAAAAAAAGATGCACAAATATGGCAATGAGAACGAGAGAAAATGAGATGGCTCAAGATCTCCCAGAGAAAGAAATACATTTAAGATCCTGGGATAGAGAAATAACTCCTGAAGACGAAATGATAAACAGAAGTACAAGAAAAACAAGGGGCACAAAATCCCTTTGTTCCAAGAAGATGTAGTGATATGTAGATTAAATAATTAACATATCCGGAATACCCAGGCTATCTAATGAGGCTGATTAGGAGGAGAAGTGCTACGTATGAGCATTGAGTAGTAACACGAAGGACTTATGACTGTTTATTTTCAAACTTATTTGCAATATGCATTTGAAAGTTGTCATTTAAAAAATGTAAATTTAGATATTTACAACACTTTAAGCCATAATTATTTCAAAGCAATTAATGTTAAAGATAAGTCTGAATGATGTAAATAGTGTAAAATAATTGAGTTTAAATAAACATTTCTAGATAGTTTTGTCACTTTTCAAATTTTTAGTAACAGAATCTTTTCTTTAATTCTGGTCTTTATATTAACATACATTTATTACTACATTGTTCTGGTTTATTTGGAATTTTTATTGTAAAACATGCAAAGCAGGTGCAAGTTTACTCAAATACTAATTTACCTCATGCTATCAAAATGTCAAGATATATTTTGTTAATTCAATACTATTGCTAAAAGCTTTTCACATATGAATTTTTAAATGTATAAATATATATGATACTCATAAAAAATATGAGAAATATTTATTTGTGAATTTGCATTTTGTCTAGATTCAGTGTAGTATCTGTGCACTCTACCTAACTTGATATTTGCAAGTTAATTTTTCCATGCTGCTCAAGTAGTAGAACACCAGCCTAATGGATACTTGCCTGCTTACCTCCAACTTAGACATTCAAATTAGGACAGGATTCACTTCCTTTATGTAGCTGATTGTTTCATTAAAGCAAAAAGTTACAGACAGATATAAAAATACATGTGATCTATGATATAGATAATGTTGAAAGACTACCAGTTTTTATATGTAAAAACTTGTACTTATTTTGTCAAACTCATTCTCATTTTTCCTTGACTTTATATTTGACAATTTTGAAAGGATTAATATTACAGTAATTAAAATAATTTGCTAAGCTATTCAATAAATAACAACATAAATTCAATTTTGTAAAAATGTGTTAACCAAAAGTGGCTTCTTGTTTAGCAATAAATTAACTCTTATGAAAAACTTTATCATGATGTTAATCTACAATCATCATATAATTGTTACAATGATGTAATTTCTATTGTAGTTTACACTTAAATATCAAGAACTTGAAAAGATTGTTGAAGAAAAAACCAATCTGTTACAAGCACAAACAGAAGAGTTAAATTCTGCCAAAAAGGTATTTTTTTGCATTTATATTAAATTTTATATTTGAATTTGTATAGATAAACATGCTACTGAGATATGATAATTTTAATTTACATGACAAATGTCATATTTTTTTATTTATTGTTAATAGATGATTAAAATGGTATTAATAATTGTTATTCAATGGTGACTTAACTTCTTGATTACACTTGCTCAAAAATAGATTTAAATCCTATTTGATAGGCTTATAAGTTACTAGCAGTAGAGCCCAGCATTGCCCGGGGATGTAACAGTAAGAGATAGATCAAGTATCGACCATCATAAAGACTGAAAAATAAAATTGACAAAGATTATTGTTTAAGGTTGACGGACACGCATGTCTTAATTAGTTTTTTTTTGGTTTGTATTTTTTTTTTTTTTTTTTTTTTTACGAATTGGTCAAACCCAAATTCAAACAAAAACATTGTTTTCAATTGTTATGAGTCTATCAATTGAATAGAATTTTATTATAAACAATTGTCTTGTAAATGTAATTTTTAAAGCATTCTGAATGTAAAAATAAAGAAAAAAGTGTGCAAGACAATAAGAAACACTACCTGCCAAAAAAAAAAGTAAAGTTTTGTTGAAATCGGTTGAAAAATGTAGGAAATCCGATCCCATATATAAACGAACACACACACACACACACACAACCTGGGTTTTATAATAAGTATAACTCGATATGAGTTGCCCCCCTTTCATTCTGGCGACTTAATCATGTTATTGTGTTTTCAAATTGATTTTGTGCAAAAACAATTGTGTTTTTCCAATTTTGGGCGCTGTCAGAACCACCGCAAGGTAATTTTATGCAGTCCTGTGAAGTTTTGTTGAAATCAGTTGAAAAATGTAGGAAATCCAATCCAATATATAAACGTACAGACAGACACACACACACACACACACACACACACACACAATCTGCGTTTTATAATAAGTAAGATAACATTCTAAAATTAACTTTTTTATTTAATTTTATTTGTTATTTAAGTTATATACACATACTTTGAATCACTCATTTTAATATTTAGTATATATTTGAACAAGTAATTTTTTTACTTTTATCATTTTTTTTACTGTCATTTAAGAAAATACATATAAAGATTATTTTAATATATGTGATATTACAACTATATTGCATAAAAATAAGATATTTTAAAGATTTCATATTTTCTATCAGTTCTGTATTTACATATAAATTCTTTTATTTTTTATTTAACAACTGATTTTTGACAAAAGCAATATTTTAGTTTTATCAATTTTTTTTTTAATCCAGGAAGCAAATCAGAGCAGCATGATGGATCTTGAAATTGCTGATTATGAACGAACTGTAAATTCTTTACAAGTCCAATTAAGTAACAAAGATGAAAAGATAGCAGAGTTGCAAAATGAAGTAACACATTATGAAGAAAGGACGAAAACTTTACAAAAAGAGATTGGTCAGAAACTTTGTCTATATTTTCACATTTTTTTTAATTAATGTAAATTCTGTTTTAAGCAGATTTTTTGGAGTTTCTCTTTCTAAGTACAATATTTATAAATAGTTATATATTATGGATGTACTTTTGTAACATTTTCTGTACTGTAATATACCCAATTCTTTTGATGGTTTAAGATTCAATTTTTATTATTTCATTACTCAATGCGATACCATAAAAATGTCATTGGGTTTATGAAACTGAAAATGGAAGCAGTTTTGAATTAATTTCTGATGAAATAATCAATACTAAAACATACCTAATTTGTACATGTAAATAGTTTGATTTTGGATTCTGCTAACGAAATATCATTTTAGTTTCTGTAAATATGATACATTATCAGGAATACTGACTTAAGATAATTACATAAAATTATTTATGGTGCATTAATTTTTATTATATTTATATAATTGTTTTATGAAAATGTCATTAAAAAAACAGCAAAATAATCTAACTAAATGATGGTATTTTGAATAATCATCCTCTTTGTATATTTGTAAAATATAAAATATATGAGAAGGGAATTACTGTTGCTAATTCTGATTTCTAGAGAATATTTCAGATAGTGTTTTTTTTTTGTTATGGATATATTTTTATTCAGAATGTGATTTTCATTTTTCAGACACTATAGATGAACAAAGAGTACAGATTGAAGACAGGAGTAACAAATTGAAACAATTGCTTATGAAATCTAAAAAGGATCTTGCAGATGCAAAGAAATTGGTGTGTTAGTTTAATCATCAATGAATTGTAATGTGTTGGTTATTGCTTTTGTCTAAGTATATTTTTTACTTCATATAGCAAGCTGGAAAAATGAGGTGAAATTGTAAATAAATCTGAGTTTATCTATTTTAATCATATACAAGTAGCTATATGAAATATAAAGAAGTTTCTATTGCGATATTTAAATCACTTAATGAAAACAATTCAACATATTGTTTATCAAATTATTCTCATTGTTCAGTACATAGAATTTGATGTTAGTTATGAAAACACAATAATTTTCAATACCAATCCAACTTTTACTTATACATTTATTTTCCATATAAATTGTTCAAATAAGTATAGTGAGTCGAGTTTATTTTTATATGAAATTATATTTTTCACATATTTAAAATTTTGCTTTTATAAGTAAAAAGATAGAAATCATTGTAATCTTAATAGAAAATAGTCCTATTATAAACTTAAAAACTTGATTCCTTGTCTATAATTATAATTAACCAAATGACTAACTATAACTTGCTGGTTTATTAATTATTATTAATATTTGATTAATTGCAAGGTATAGTAAGCCATGTCTAGTGTTTTGTCCTGGACAAAATTATCAGGATTATTGCTTAAGTGAATGTTTGATTCATTTTATAATAATGTCTGCATTTAAAAAGTTGAATAAATAATTTTGTAATATATGAAAGTTCCAAATTCTACAAAGATGTGGATTTTATGTCAATTCATGGAATTCAGTGGCATTTGGATCATTTTTCAGATTTAGATAAATCTGCAGAAAAAATTTAGAATTTTTCAAAATAAAACAAAATTTTTGCAAAAATGTTTTTACTAAAAAAATTGTTTTAAATTTTTCAGGATTGATTAAATGTTTACATGTTAAAAAAAGATAGATCTCTGAAGAATTTTAACCAATTCTTTAATTTTCACTGCAAACTTTTTTTTTTTTTTAAAGACTATAAATTATCTTTAAAATTTAATTACATTTTTCTAAAATAAGATATTGATAAAAATTAGATATTATGTGGTCATACCTATGTAAAAGCCATTACAAACTTTATGATAATACATTATTGTAAAATATAATTAAATATGATGTGGTAAGTGAATGTACACAAATATCTTTTATCAAACTAAACTTTTCATCAAAATTTTTAAAATAAACACTAATGATTTCTTTAATTTGAATAGATATTTAAAATGGTAAATTGTGAGCATACCTTGCAAACCTTGATTATCATTAGGCCTCTATTTTTAACTAGCCAAGGTGCCTGGCATTGCTTGGGTGTACATGGCTGCAATTGTATACCTGCACCCACCCCTCTGTCTTTAAAGATTATCCATTTGAAATTGTTACACTATCTATAGAAAATAAAGTGAATTTTTACTAAACATTTATTTGGGTGTTTCCCTGATTACATGTCTTAGAGCTTTTTTTTTTCAGTGTTAAATTTTGATAAAATTGATACTGAATTGATATATTTGCTGCATATATTAATGGATGTTTACTCTGATTGATTAAAATCATTCATATTTATTTTTTGATTTTATTTTCATTTTTCAGGAGAATGAACAGAAAACGTCTGAGGCTCAATTAAGAGGCCAGATGGAACATTTAATTCAACAAGTGGAAGATTGTAAGGTACACTGTCTATTTTTTTAACTACTTACTGCACGCATTAATTACCCCTCTTTGCATTATTTTATCTTTGTTAAAATTTATTTCACCCTTATTAATTGAATTATAAAAAAATATATGAAATTGTTATATTATTATAGTGATACATTTAAAATTTTTGTTTAAACTTTCCTTTTACAGATGCAAATGTCAGAGATGGGAGTGGAAAATAATAATCTCCAAGATCGTTTAAAGAATATGTTGGATTCCCAGCAGCGCTCCTCTAAATCCCAAGAGAAACGTATTCTTTCTTTACAACAACAATTAGAACAAACACAGGATGAATTATCTTCCGTACAGAATGAATATGAAGGATATAAAGTAAACTTTCAATGATTTAAAGATATTGGCAATATTCTGTATATGATATATGAACAAAAAACAAACTTATAAAACATTGTTAGAGCAATTGAAAGTTTTCTAGTAAAAAGAGAATCTATTGGAACTGACCCTCAAAAAGCATGTTTGTATACAATGTACACCACTCTCCCAATTCAAAATATTAGTTGAAATTTGTTAATGTCATTAACCAATTCATGGGAGAGAAAAAATCAGGACTACTTCTACTACTAAATTCCAAGCCACCTAAAATTAGTTGGTCAGACAATTTCTTGTGTTTTCATCATTAAACACATACACACACACACACACACACACACACATATATATATATAGGCAAGAGCTTCTCAGTTCTCATTCTTGATAAGAATACAAAAGCATCTCTGCATTCTTGTGGGTGACAAATTATTTTCCACCCTACAATCCTTTTCTCACAAATGAAACATTGAAAGCCTCTTGCTGCTTTATCATTATTTTCTTGAAAAATGTTCAGATGAATTACATTCCTTAGTTCCACCAGTTCTAACTTTCCTGCCTAAGACCAGCCATGCCACACACATTGTAGTGAATCATCCTCAGTCCTTTTATATTCCATTATTGAAATGTAAATTTCTCTCAAGCAGCTTCTTCCCATGAACTGCTGCTTTGTAGAAACAACTCCCAAGAAGATGCCTCCCTGATCACTATGATCTTAACCAGTTAAAGTCTAGGTTCACCCATCTTCTCCACATATCCCAATAAACTGTGTCTCTTACTCTGTAACCCTCTACTTCGAGTGACACTTGGGCTTTGTACAGGGTGAACATCACTAAAAAAAATTGCTTTATTATTCTTTACATAACTATCCTTTATTCCAATTGATTCTTTTAATTTTCTGTTTTTTTCTTCCTGTTTTCTCATAAATAGCCTATGACAGTCACTACTATTCTGTAATAGACAAATGAAAATCACTACTAATCAGTGGATGAGAAAAATATTAAAATAGTCACAAAATTCACTGTAATTTTTGTTTGTTAATCAAATATTGATTTCTTTCAAGTATTTTTTTAGAGTTGCCTTGATCATTTATTTTAAAATAGGTAGGTTTCTATTAAATGTTTTTCATTTAGAAAGTAGATCTTAGCTTTTTTATTGTTCATTTGAAATTGCAATCAATCTATAGACATTGATTTTCTATCAATACCTTTTCTTGTCATTTTATATATTTATTTCTTTATTTTAATTTTTAATATTGTATGAAAATAAGATTAGTTTTCTTTAATTTCTACCTACAACTGAAATGAGAAAAAAGGTATAATTTACAATACTGACAAGTGGCAATTTTTTTTGTATGTCTTTGAAACTATTTTCTAGATTTAGTAATTTTTATTGGAGAATAAAATTACATTTTCATATTTTTATTCCCTTAGGTGCGTGTTCACAGTGTTTTGAAGCAACAAAAAAATAAATCTGCTCAAGATACTGTAATTGTTGAAAAACAAGAGAAGTGAGTAAATATTTTCACAAAATATGGTTATAATCTAAATTTTGATGTTAATTTGATAAGTACACATTTTTTAGACTACAAAGATAATTTTTTTCTAATCTAATATTTCAGAAAAGATTAATTAACAATCTTGTCACTGTTATCCTCTAACCAACTTTTTAATATTACTCGTAATGTCATTTTGGCTATGTATTGTTATATAATTTAAAAAGTTACACTGAAACCTAAAACATTTGCCATTTAATTTTGCTAAAACAATCTTATGTTTTTATTCTTTAACTGTCTGTAAAATTATTATATTCTGCTTTGGTTTTGTTTATTTTTTGAGTTCTGCCCCCAAACATGTAATGTAAGTTTTTGTTTTTATAGAGAACATCTGGAAAAGATAATTGACCAACTGAAATTAAAACTACAAGAAACAAGGTATGATTATAATGTCTTTATTTAAGAACTACTTAATTTTATGTTTTTTGCCACTGCACACACATACACGCACAAACATAAAATATTTCTATTTTCTTAAATCTATATAATTAGAAATGTTTTTTAACGATTTTGATCTTTATTTTGCCAATTTAATTATTTTATGCAAAAATTCTTAGAAAAGCCATACAAATAAACATCTCCTTGTATGAATATGGCAGATTAGTCATGTCAGAAAAATAGTATTGTTGGGCAACATGCTAATCACTTGTTTTGAAATTATTGATAGCTTTAATCCATCTTGGCAGAAAAATTGTATTCACTCAAATTGGCATTTGAACTGTTGATTTTATAATCTCTTTTTAATGGTATAAAGAAATGTAAACACAATTTTAGCATTTATTATTTAATGTGTAGGTCAACATATGGATATATTTCTTGCTGTATTGTAAAAGGCAACAAAAGGATGCAGAAATATAAATTATTTGAAAGAGTTAAATCATTTTTATTTTGTACTGTTCCAAGTTACTGTAAAGATAACACTTCTCAGCTGCCTTTTTGATATGTGCTTTTGCTTAACATTCATTCAGAATTTGATTCAGATACAAAAAAAATCTTGGATATTTGATTAAAGATTAAGATCTACTTGATCTTATCAAAAAACAAAACAAAAATAACTGAACAAAACGCTTCCTCTGTCTTGAATAGTTTCAATTTTAATGCGTCTTTGAGCAAACTATATTCACTCTTTATTAAAATGGCGTTTCCCAGATCAAAATGGCAATCATAAAGGTTTTGATGGCGTAAAAGTGCATTGAGTATGTTTACTTTTATGTCCCTCTTATATTCCTATATGATTTTCTTCAGGATATTTTGTTGATGTTTTGCGTGTGTAGAGGCATTATTTACTTATTTAGTGACTCTATTTTGAAAAAAAAAATCTATAGATAAAGGGAAATAATCATGTTGGTCTTAATAAAATCAGCATTGCAATGACCAAGCATCAGAATATTGATTTTGGGAGGTGTGTTGGCCTGAGAACTTTAAACACCACCTTCACTCACTCACACACACACTCATATATATATATATATATATATATATATATATATATATGAATACATAAATAATTCTGTAACATTGTTATTCTGTAAATGCTGTTAACATCAGGTCTTAAGAGTTAAACACATCAGTAGGGAATAATCGGCATTAGCAACAACTAACCTTCAAACATAACAGGTGCAGAAAAGTTTCTGCCAACAATAAAAAATCTAGTATGGTCTGTCTTCCATATATAAAGAGTATGTTTTAAGATTCAAATGATCTCCAGTCCATACAACACATAAGGGTGGTATTCAAAGGTAGACCATAAAGATATCTGTCCTTTGAAAGAAGGCATAATCAAGAATTGTGTATATTCCATCCCATACAGAAAGGTTGGCCTTACATGATAAGTAAGGGTGTAGAAACATCAAAAGTCTATTGTTCAAGGACAGACATTGAAATCAGTCAAGGCTGATCCTATATGGAGACAAAAGGTTGTTCAGTAACACTTGTAGAATCAACTCAAAATAATAGATAGAAAACAATGTTGAAGGATAAGATGATTTAAAAAACTCAGTACATGTTAGGTACTGACAACCTTTTCAATAGACCTAGCATAGGGATGAATACCATCTGGGATCCTCTGATTAAGAAGGAAAGGACACTCAAAAAAAAAAGATTCCCCTACCTGAGTCAGAGAACTCTTGTATTTCCACCACCTGAATACAGACATTAGGTTTAAGGCTCCAAAATTACACCAATAGATTTTCTAAAGAGATATATGATATATATGGATTAAAGCATTGGGTAAAAAAAAACCTCAATTCAATAAAGTAAAACAGACCCTTGAAGCATTGTGTGTATAAGCAACATGATGAGCATGCTGGTCTGAATAGCAAGGTATAATATATTATTTTATCTAAAAATGAAGATACACATGAGACATTTTATGCAGTTAAACATTTTCAGATTTTAATTAAAATACTTCTATAATAAAGCAACAATGTTAAAAACTTTAGATGAAGCTAAACATTAACAAGCATTAATCAGAACTATTTTCTTCCTATTTTGATTCACTTATAGGAGATTTGTTTGTAAACTGAAGGGAGATCTTTTGGTTTTGTTTTAGTGTTAACTTCACTACTTCCATGCAGGAAAATGAAACTTTGCAAGAGGAACATGATAGATTGCTTCAGCGCCAAAATAAACTCTTACAAGATTTTCAGGACAAAGAAAATACATTTAAACAGGAGTAAGTATTAATGTCATTCATATATAATAATTTTTATCAGCAGGGATTGCAATCTCTTGCCTAGATGATTATTAGCAATTTATTTGGATGACACAATCAGGTAACCTGAAAAATTTCTTGTCAGGGAAATAGGTTATATACATCTTTCAACTATGCTTACAATTTCTGCCAATTGAATGATTTCAATATAAATGATAAAAATGTTCATATTCATCTAAACAAATATCTGAATTGTCATAATTCTCTTTTGATAATAAATTTGAAAGCAGTTAAGATCCTATAAGTTTGATGATAAATGTTACTTCTGTTCCATAATATAAAATGTTTGTGAAAAAATTAAAATTTTATTCTTTAGTAAACTGACATATTTTTAATGAGTATTTTTATGATGAAGTATAATATTGTTTATAAAATGTTTGAAATATTGCAGTTAAAATTACTGGGCTTTTTGAAAGGTTTTTATATAAAATTCCTATTCATCTCCATTTCTATTGATTTTACAGATTAGAAGAGTTGGCCAAGCAGAATACAGTGAAAAATGCAGAATATGCAGAAGCTATTCGCCAGTTGACATTGCAGAATGAATCTTTGACTCTCCAGTTTAAGGTATGGTTTTTATTGGAATTGGTTGGTCCATTTTGATTTATGGATGTCTTCATATTGATAGCACTATTTGGTTCTTCTTGTAAAGTTTTAAAGTTAAAATTTTCTTTTGAATACAAGCAGAAATGTCATGATTTAAAAAAAAATGTACAAAGAGAGCAAAAATAAAGTATTTCTCAGTTAACTCTGAGACATTAGACAATAAATACATCTCAAGAATGATTGCATTAGATATATCGGGTTTTTTTGGCAAGGTGTGGCATAGAGGGTTGCTACACAAGCCCTCCAGCTATGGGATCACTGGAAGAGTCTTCTCAATTATCAAATCCTTCCTAACAGATAGGTCCATGAAGGCAACTGATAATGGCCACTCTCCCAAGGCTTGCTTTTTGTTCAACTCTGCCTTACATTAATGATTTATCTAAGAATATACACTGATTTTTGTGGATATCTATGATACAATTGTATATAGGTGGACCACCAAAATTCTTAATGATTACTGCTTGGCAGCAGATGTCACCTCTAATCTAACTCTAACAACTTAATGGGGGAAAAACTGGTTGGTCATATTCAATACCTCAAAAAACAAACTAGTGATGTTCCTTCATCACCAACCCTCTGAACACTATTGTCTATCACATTGAACAGGTCTTCTCTTAAGGTGGACTCTTGCCTTGAACACCTATTGGGGCTTAATCTCACTCCAGACCTCAAATGGAACTTATACATATAATCCATTGCTAAAGATGCTGGAAAAATGGTTGGTTCCATGTTCACTCCAATAATACCTGACTTTTCCTGCTATCCTCTACAACCTTTACAAGAATCAGATCAGGCTGAAAATGTGTAACACTGGCTCTCACAGGGCTGTGCCAAACATAGCAGAGACAGTTCTCTAATGGGTCTCTGGACAATTACAAGAACTTTCAGGTTCATCCACTTCTTCTGTCTGGGCTTGCTGGTCACACTACTAGACTAGTTGATAATGTTGGCCTTCAGTTTGCTTGTAGATTCGTCTAGTGTTGGTTACCTGCCAGATTGAAATTTGTATGGACTGTGCTATTATTTTTAGTGCCTGAAGCTTAAAAGGAAAGTCTGTTTTTCTTTTTTAAAGAACAAGTGGATGTTGATTAAAACTCAGCAATGAATTTATTGCTAAATTCTACTTGCTACAAGCTTGGTTGGTATGTCCAAATGAATCCACTCAAAAGCATTTACTCTGCCTTGTGGGTGATGCATTATTTTCTGTACTACCACCCCTTTCCCACAGACAGAATGTTGCAAGTCTCTAGCTGGTCTATTGCTATTTCCATGGAAAATCTCCTGACTAGCTACATTCTGTAGTTCCACCAGTTATGATCTTCATGGCTAAGACCTGCCATGGCATGTACGCCTTCATTCCATTTGTATTCCATTAGTGAGAAGTAAGTTCGACGAACATCTTCTTCCCACGAACTGCTACTTTGTAGATCTGACTTCCAAGAGGATGCTTCCCCGACCACTACAATCTTAACCTGTTCAAAACTAGGATTAATGATTATCTTTCCCAAATATCCTCATAAACTGTGCCTCTTAACGCTTACTCTATCTGCTTACACAACAAACCCCTTCAGTAACCATCTACCTTGATTGGCTTTTGGGTCTTGTATAGGGTGAACATTAGTAAAAAAAAACAAAAACAATTTATAGTATTAGTGATCTAAAAATAAAAATTTTTAAATTTATTTCATGAACTTTTTTTTTTAGGAATATTGTCTTTGTAAAGTTATTAATAACTAATATAAGTAAACACTTATTGTTTTTACAGGAACATCTATTTTTGTTGGCTTGTAATTTTTAAAAGTAATTATTATTTTTAGGCTGTATTTACTGTGAGTATTACTTTAATTACAGGATCAATTAAAGAGCTTAAAGGAAGACCATCGTAAAACACTGGATGTGCTCCATCAACAAATTGACATGGCTGAAAAGGAGAACTACCGACTGCAAAGAGAGTTACAACAACCACAATACTCTAGTGCAGTTGTTCAGCGATCTAATAAGTCTGTTGAGAGAGATCCTACTGACTCTCCCTCTTCTGATCTCCCATTGGATATAGCTCGTAATGAAGAACGGCAACAAGGAGAGGTAAAAATTGTATGCAATAAATTTAGAGTAAATCTCTAATTTAATTTTGGTTTAATGAATTTCACTATAAAGAGTTTTAACTATTCTTCAAAATAAGAAATGTAAATATTTTAGGTCATTATTTTGACAGATTTTGACCCAAAATAGAAGTTAACTCTACCAAAAAGAATTATTTTGCTAAAAAAGTATTCACATTTTCAGTAAATGTCTGGAAATTTATCCTATGCTTTATGCAATGAGCATTATATATTAGAAAATCTATTCCCAAATGTATACAAATACAAAACTCTTTTTATGGAGCATGACAGTTGAAATGTATAAAAATATTTAATGATATCAAAAGAAATAAAAATGAGAAGTGTACTTTTGTTAAATTTTAAAAATAAAATTTTTAAATAAAATGTTTCATGTTTGGATATTTTGTATAAGCAAAAAATGTTTGATTCTTAAGAAACTTTAAAGCTTGTTAAGTAGTTATGTCATTTATTTTTATAGATTCATAAGTTCTCTTAATAACATTTGTCATGAATTATATTATTTTATCTTCCTTATCATCACAAAAACTCATTTTTTATTTGTACATTTAATCTTCATTTTCAAAATAGTTATTATTTAGTGTGCTGTTTAAATCACACTTTCTCTTTTGTGATCAAAGATATTTAAAATGTCTTTTATTTTTTTTTTTTTATTTTAAAGGGAATGGAATATGTTGATTCTGAGTCTTGTCACCGGGTAAGACTTTAATTTGTTCAAAAAAGTAAACCACTTTATTACATTATTATAAATAATATAGCCGAATATGAAGCTGTTACTATTATATTTTTCTTAAAATCATGAAAAATGTCCCTCAATTTGAAGGAAAATTGACAGTTCTTCTAATAAAATATTGTTTTTCAATAATAGTAATAAAATGAAGAAGGCAGGAGTGTACAAAGGCCGAAACGTTGTAATAAATATGGCGACAAAGATGAGGACAATAGTCTGAATAATGTAAATAGTGTACATAAGACCTCATCTCAGAAATATAGACAGATAATAAAATGTTCTTGTAAATAAGATTTAGCTTAAATAAGTTTTTTTAGTGAATATTTATTATGACTAAAATGCTTACTAATTACATGTAGCATTAATTTTTCACTATCTTAATTCTAAAATATTCATGCTAAAAGATATTTTATTAAAAAAGCAAATCATTCCTTTAACTAGAAATGGTATTGTTTACAAAATAAGAGTTTTTGTTTAAACACTTAGAGAATAAAGGAATATTCAAGAATCAATATAGTAATTTCAAATATTCAACAAGGAAAATTTTAATGATTTTTAAATGTTTTTTGTACATCATAAAATTTAAGATATGTTTTCAAATTTATGTTATCAATTTATTTATATGAATTTCATATTTTTCTTCCTCTTTGTAGGTCAATAATATCCAAGGTGTCTCATCACTTGTCACTTTTGAACAGTTACTTAGCCAAACTGAAGAAGAAGGTAAATTTTGATGATGAATTTTCTGAGATAAAATAACCATTTTGTGTTATGCATTATATTTTATTTGAAGTAAGCTATCACCATAACTGAATAAATATACATTCTGATAGTGTTTTCAAATGAATCCAATAACCAGGCAATAAGAAAATTGATGCTATTGGTGGCTAAAAACATACATTTTCTTTATATTTGTGACTATTTTAATGAAACATTTTTCATTAATTACATATTTTAAAATTTCATTGTATGTAGGATGTTTTACAGTTTAAAATGTAGTATGTATTGATTTAATAACTAGAAGTGAAAACTAGGCCAACATAGACTTGTTCTAGGTGTAGCATTGTAAATAAGGTAGAATTGTATTGCAATAGGTTTTTTCTTACCAGAATTACCAGAATGTGTTTTTGTATGTTTTGCTGGGGGCTATATTGACAGAAGAGGGAGTGCAAGCATTAGTAGAATGGCTGATTTTTGTGCATTAGGCTGCTGAACATGCTAGTCTCTTAACTAAATAAAAACACTGGTATCCAGTTTGTGAGCAATAAAGATATCAGCTTTTAGTTTAAGTAAGTTGGCAATATGAGAGAATGAGGATTGGAAGCTAGTAAAGACTATTGCAAGCTATAACAAGGATTGAGATTTTGCAAATCTAACCAAAATGAGGATGAATTTATTTTTTTCCTTTTTATTCATTATTAAGTAGTGCTGAAAAGAATTCTGCATTTACTTTCTATATAAAAATCAATTGTTGTAGGGTATTTAATATCTAACATGATTTGTAATTGATCTTTTTAGTCACAAAATCTGTATTGAATGAAGAAGAGCTGAAATTTGATCTAGACAGTGCTCAAAAGAGAAGTGATCATTTAGCAAAGGTAAGAAATACTGCTTTACAAAAACTTATCTTTTAACACTGATTCCATAATCATAAAATATTAAAGCAAATATTGAAAATGTTACAATTAGTTCACATGTACCTGAGAAACAGAACAAATGAAAATGAATTACAGATTTTTTTCCCATTAGCAACTACAACAGAATTACGTACTGATAAATTTAATAAAGAATTTTGTGTACAAAATAACTTGGAGAAACATTTCAGCTTTTGATTTTAAATGAATTTGATTTTCATTTTTTGTAGCTTTTAAATGAAAGTGAAGCAACTGTAATGAGGTTAACAGAACAAGCCAAAATTCTGAAAGAAGAAATACGTCGGTTGGAACGAAATCAGGAAAGAGAAAAAGAAGCTGCTAATATGGAATATTTAAAGAATATCTTTCTTAAGGTATTTTCTGTACCATACATACATATACATCATTCATGCTTAACATTTGTGTAAAATAGGTTTTTCACGCAATTGTACAAAAGTTGGAAATAGTATTAGTTAAATTGAATCTTCTATGAAAGGATATCAATGCTAAAAAAATAAAATAAAACAATTTACAAAAAAAAAAGGTTTTTACCCCCCACACACTTTTTATTATAGCAATTACAAACATGATGTTTGTAGAGGCTGTCTGACATGATTTTAGGTCTTCATTTTGTTAATTATGTAAAACCTTTTTTAGATTGTCGTCTGTGTTCAGATGATCTATTTGTTGAGGTACCCAATGGGGTAATAAGTCTTGTTGGCCATTACTAATGAATAGTATAATGAATTCAATCCTCACTAAGTGCTCTATTCAACATAGAATACCCAACATATAACATTAACCAACCAATCTATTTGTTGAGTATTATAGATTTCTTTTTTTGAAATTGGAATCACCCCAAGCAAGCCAGTAATGCAGGGTGAACACAGGGTGTGGAAGAATTAGGAACAGAAACATTAATGATAAGCAGAAAGAGAAGAATGTAATCAGGTGGACAGTAGATAGCGATTGACATTGCATTTAAATTTTTGCTGATTAAAGTTGGGTGGAAAGCATTGAGCCAGAAGGGAGTTCCACAAGCAATAAGTGCAAGAAAAGAAACTGTTAGCATAAAAATTACAGTTACATCTAGCCAGCTCAACTGTAAATAGATGAGACCTCAATGCCATCTGGTGCTGTGCTTAAATTCAAAAACTCTAGGTACCGTAGAGAAGAGCTCATTTGAACAATTACCATGAAAGTATTTAAAGAAAAAACAGAGAGAGGCAACCTTATGGTGGTGGGAAAGTGACTGAAACTGATTTGTCAGATCAGGGCTAATAATATTGCTGATTCTTCTTTGGATCTTATCAAGGAGCTCTAGGTAAATAGTAGGGGCACTGGACCATAATTCTGGAGAAAAAAATTGTCTTGCTCGACATAGTGAACCAACTTTCTTAGCAGCTGACCTAGCAATGGATTCAATATAGTTTTTTCACTTCATATCAGCAAAGCATGTGAGCCTGAGAAGAAACAAGGAGTCACTTTCTTGGAGGATAGCATCAGCCATGCTGATGGAAGTTAGCGAGGATCTCTCAGATGATTAATGGAGATAATGATTATTATCTCAAAACCATTCTCTCAATTATATTTTCAAAGATCCCTAAAAGTTTGTTGGCAAAACTGATAACTGATCTATTCCAACGTCTAATTTTTGTTCAGCTGATAAGAGAAATTCAGTTTGATAGCTCAGGGGAATAAACAAAGAGAAAACTACATTTCAGCAAATCAAAACAAAATACTATTTTTACACATTTATTGATAAAGTTAAAGAATCTTTATGAAAAGGAAAAGAATGTTGTTTAGTTTGATTGTTTTACTTTGTTTTATAAACATAATTCCATACTCACTGTTGATTTTTGGCACAAATCTGATATCTCTGCATGTGTGCATATTTGTATGTAATATATATATATTTTCGTTGTCCTCTTATTAACGAGAAGTAAAAACAAGAACAAAATCTATTTCCATACCTGAGGATGTCTGTAGGAACAGACGAAAGCTTGTAAAAATTAAAAGACCTTATGCAACTGGAATTTATGAACAGGGATCATATCATTCATATACAGGTTTGGGGTTGATGTATCTCATTTATATTGTTTGTGAAGATGTATTCTCGCCATTTAAATCATTAGCCTCTATATTTGTTTTTTGTATGAATGATTAATGAATTTATATATATATATATATATATCCTCTTACTCTTCACTATTCTTTCCTTTGTGAATATTGAATAAATATATGAAGGTCTGCTTAAAAGTTCTTGGGTTGATCAAAATCAGATTGGGAAGTGGGTTGGGCTGAGGATTTTTCAGTAACCCCTTCATAGACTGACTATGGTCTACTCAATAATATATAAAAAAAAGTCTGAGTCTTATAAAAGAGGGAAAATAAGTAATGTTGTCTTTTTCAGTTTGTCATGTTGAAAGCTGGTGATGAGCGACAAATGCTAATCCCAGTTCTGTGTACAATGCTGAAACTCAGCCCTGAAGAAAAATTAAAACTCACAGCAATTGCCCAAGGTGAGAGAAATTATTTTTATTTTCCCTATATTTTCACCAGTTGCAATTACTTGCATGATCAATTGAAAATCGTGTATCATTTTTTTATGAAATTCATTTAATGAGAATACCTAGAAACTTAATCAGTTTGTCTTTTTTACACATTCTCTTATTAAAAATAGTATTTGAGACAAATGCATTTTAATGCCCATTATTAAATGTAAGTTTTGTCATGGATAAATTTCAAGTAGTTAAGAAAGTTAGTGAAATTGTTTGTTTAAACTAAAGCAACATTTAAGCATGTAAGTATAGAATAAAGCATCATTAAAATTGAGTTGTGAGAACTATTTTTATCATTTTTAAACTTTCCATTTTCTTTTTTAATTGTATTATGAATTAAATTTCAACATTTCATCATTTTTTGCCAGGTGATGATATTGCTTCAGGAAACCAAGCTGCAAGTTGGGGGTCTTATCTCCATCGATGGTCTGGACTGATGTAGGAAAAAACAAAAAAAAATCCTTGCAAATATAGTTGTTTTCCTTGCCAACTGCTAGGATTAAACTCTTTTGGCAGAAGCATGAAAAAAACAAAACAAAGAAGAATGTGATATTTGTTATGTATTGTCAAATCATCACTTGTAAAAAAGAAAAAAAGACTTATTTGGCATTTGTGTTTGAGTTTTTCAGGCCATTATTATTTTCATTTTTTTTTTTTCTTTTGTTTTATTTTTGGATTTTCATTGGGACATGTTGTAAATGGTTGCACTTGCTTGATGAATCACCTGTGCTGTATGATTAGATGAAAGCAAAATATGATAATGGATCCCAAAACTTCAGTACAAATGCTACCTCATCTCACAGAGAGCAGACTATATTTGAATTGGTTTGCTTTCTCTATAATTGGAATGGATTTTCATTATAGAATTTTTTTTTCTAACTGGAGGTCTTGGTCTCAACCAAAATAATGGTGCTTTCTTTCTGGTTACTTTGGTTTAAGTTCTTTTTTTCTAATGTATTCAAAGTTTTGAATTAAATTTCTTTTGGATAATCCCTCTTAAGCTGATAACTAGAAATGTCTAGTTCCTTTTTCTAACTTAATCATTCATTGACTATGATTCTCCTTGATTCATATCTTTGTGTATTAACTATTCTGAATTTTCAATATTTTTGTACATTTCATAAAATATATAAAATATCTTTACCCCAAAATGTTACAAACTTTTGTTGCCACAACTCATAAAGTATTTTTATTATTTTATTACATTTAGAATTGATAAGCAAAGAATATATTCAACTTTCCAAAATATTTTAAAAACGTTTTTTTATGTGCATTTGTTTGAGGCCAAATTAACCTTTTCAGTATAATTTTCAAAATTAATTAATAACATAAATTCCAAACAAATTTATTCTTGCTTTGTGTCTCCTTTCAAAATTTTGTTGCTATATTTATTTCTTCATAAGCACAATATTTTGGTTATCTGGGATTTAAGAATATAAAGGATATTCTTTCCTCAATTTCTATTGTAAGAAATAACAAAAGTAATATTTTCTTAGCACAAGTTTTTTTTGTTCATTGCTTTTCATATTGACAGTTGTTAATCATTTAGGTTATTTTATTTGTTAATTACTATTATAGCTGGAAAGCATTTTCCCTTTAATGATTCCAGTGTTGCCTTTTGAAATTATTCTGCAAGGGTGTACTGAAAGGTTCTTTGCCTGACCAACAAGGGATTGACTCAGAGCCATGAAATGTCCATATTATTCCACATCTTCGCCCCACAGTTCAACACATTTGGCACACACAGTTTCTCAAGTTTCTTTCACCCTTCTAAAAAAAAAAAACTTTTGTTGTTTAGTCTTTGAAAAACTGATTTTGGAAAATAGGTTGGGCCTGAGAGCTGCTCATAAATTCTTTTGTTTTCTTTACAATATGAATAATTCTATTGAAATCTATTGTGGGCCTTCATTTTGCATCAAAGTTTGTAAATATCCCCAAACAATAGATTTCATTCAATTCTTTTTGGGAAATATTTACTAAGTTCATTTGCTTTACCTAAAAACTTTATTAGATTTAATTTTAAGTAACACAGTAAGTTTTTAAGTAACACTTCTTTAACAAATTTGTTTACAATTCTATGGTCTCTGATTTTTACTGGCAATGAAATAAAAAGTTTTGTTGGTAGGTTTGAAATATTGATGGATGATTGTTTTTTTTTCTAAAGGAACAAAATGATCTCTTCAAATTCTTGTCTTCTCTTTCTGTTTCAATTCATCCTTCTGGAAAAGATTTAATGGATTTGATGTTTGCTGTTATAAATATCAGAAGATTTTGTTGGTTATTCCTCTTTAATCATAGCACAACTTTTGTTTTTATTTTTATTCTTTCATATGAAAATGCTAAATTATTCCAAGTTCTTTGACTGGGTATTTATTTTTTCATAAATTCACTTTTTGGCTTAAGAAAAGGTTATTTCTCATTCCATGAATAATATGCTAAAGTTTTGCAATTGATTATTTTACCTTCAGTTTGTCCGTCCCTTGAGGCTAAAACCTGGAATGCAGTTCAATAACTAACATACTAAATAACCATATTTCTTCTCTATAATTTCTTTAGTTCTCTTTCTGATATTCACTTGTATCAAGTGAGTCTGTGGTCTTTCTGTTACACATTTGAGATGGCTGATGTCCTCACTGCAATACTTATTTTATATGTCAAACATGTCTGTTGATATGTGTCGAGCCTTCTTATAGGGAATGACATTTGGGGGCTTATATCTTCAGGACTTGAATATACGTGGTATACATAAGATTTTTGCCAGTATTTTCCTTATGCTCTTTGTGATACACAATGTACATGTATAAAAATATATATTAAAAAAAATGTATTAGACTATCGATCACATAATATTTCTTTTAAGAGGGTGCTGAAAAGATCTCATCCCAATCCACTTCCCAAAATCAATATTTTAATGACCAAACATCAGAATACTGATTTTGTGCAGTTGGTCATGTGAAGAATTATTCAGCACAACTTCATAAATTTCAGCCTCCTTCAAGTTCATGTCTACTCTAATTTTCTTTTCTTCTTACCATTGTCCTTTTCTATGTTCATTCTTCTACTGGTGGATCCCAACCAAATCTGTGTGTAAAATATAAATTATGGACTCTCCTGTTGTTTTCTATGTCCAGCTGTCAAAACTGAACAACCAAACACTACTTGCACATATGATGTGTTGAAGGCTTGTGCATGTGCACACACACACACACACACACACAAACACACACAAATTAATGTATTGATAAATCAGTTTAATAGTTTTGGAAGGAGTAAAAGAGAATGTCCTGCCTTCTTTGAACAAAGTGTATGATATTGTGTAAATTGTTGAAACTTGCTGATCACTCTAATGGCTGTTCTTTAACAAATTCTTTCATATGGTTGGGAATAGGGGAAATTCAAGTTGAATAAATATTTTTGAAATGGATTTTAATTTTTTCTTCTTTTTGTATTAAAAAAATTGTTATATGATTTACATTGCAGCTTAACTTTGGATATAATGAGATGAATTTTGTAACTAGGATCCTTCAATATTTGGACTTTGTAGATTGAGTATTTTTTAATAAATTAATCAAAATGTTTTATAATACATTATTATGTTAGATATTTGTTAATGAGATCAGTTAAGATTAGTCAAGATTGGAATGCTTGTACTAGTCTTAACCAAACCCTATATTATTTTAATTTTCTTTCTAAGTTCGTAAGAATGATAGCTTATACAAAGCATTTGGATCTATGACTTTTTCTAATTAAAGTCTGTTCTTTAAGAAACAGAAAAAAAAATGTTAGAAATGATTCAGTGATTACTGAATGCAATCTTCACCTGAAGAATGCATTGACTAAAACATTGTGTTGAAAGCAATGAAAATGATGCCAAATAATTCATAGAAACAAAATGAATTTATTAAATAATAATAATAATGATAATAATAAATAAGAAAATATTTTTATACAAGCTTTAAAGTAATCTATTTTTCATTTGCTTGCTCTAAATTCTGTTACTACTGTTTTGATTTTTGCACCACAAAGAAATGGAAATAAATCTGGCTATATGCAAATAATCCTACTATGAATTAAAAGAAAAATTATATTTATATTTACTATATTCTATCAAAAACAGTTTGTTTTTAATGCAAAACAGTGTCTGTCATGTTGTAAAATTTTGAAGGCAGGATTATATACCACTTTTAAATCTCCAATTTTATCTCAGTTACAAATTGTTTAGCCTCTTTAAAATGTTTACTTTTAGATTATAACTTTTTCTAAGTACTACAATGACTGCATACAGGTGGGAATCTCTTTGCTCTGGTTTGCTATCATGTCACTGAAGTAGTTTCAAGTAGCGGCAACAACCAAATAATGTTCATTGAATTTATCCTAAATATACTGTGTTGAATAACAATGCTATTTGTTTCAAGGTTCTAAGTAATTCAATTTTTAGATAAGACTTTAAGTAAATTTGAATTTCTATATTTGTCTTGCGATGTTCAATATAAAAAGTAATAGTGAGGCTTGAAGTGTGCATGATTAGAATCTTGCTGGAAAAATGTTTTGCTTTTATATATCAAAAAACTTAACAATTTTGTGATGCAGGTAAGAATTTATATAGCAAATTTCAAATTAAAAACAGTTTAACTTTTTTTTTTTGATAAAAGCTTATGAATGAAAATAATCTTTACAGATAAACTTGTAGAGGATAAAGAATTTAAAAAGCCATTTTTAAGTTTAGTGTAGCTTCTATCTTAGAGTATGTTTTCACATATTAAAAAATTATTTTTAATTAATCACATAATTTATTATACTATTTTACATAATATTTCATTTATAAGTTATTTGAGTACATAAGAATTTTCTACAAAAATTTAAAAAGGAATCTTATTCACAATTTTGCTATGGAGGAAATACAGTATCCAAAATAGTTAATAAAACTGGTTAGAAAAAAACCTACATAGCTATATCTGGCAATTGACTGTTGCAAATTTTCACAATTCATAAATCACTGTTTAAGACAAATGGAATCACATCATCCCTTTTAAAGTTTATTGAAGAAAGTTGTTTTTACTTTTCATGTATTTGTCATTTGAAAAAAAAATGAAAATGGGTTGTTAAAAGCTAAAAAATTATCTATCCTTTGGGCAACAGATTTCAGACAGGTTTGATTGAAACTGGATTTACCATAATAAATAAATTGTTTCAGTTACTGTACTCAGAAAAAAAATTCCTTTTCAATATGTAATTACAGAAGAATTTGAAGTGACCCAATTACTAAGGAAAAGAATATTGAATTGATTAAAAAAACAATTCTATTGATTTTGTTGGATAGAATTGAATCTGCCATTTTTTTTCTTTTGTTAATACTTGTATTAAACTTATAAATCAATAAACGTTAATAAATATAATTTAGTTATTTCCTAAGTTTAGCTTAATGTGACACAAATGTGTTCAATAACTAGTAAAGATTAAATTTGCTACAATAGTAATGGACTATAAGACTAGTTGGTTAACAATTGACAAGGAAGTCAAATAGATATAATTTATACAGGGAAACAAGGTATCATTGCCTATTTCTTTTCATAGTGAGAATTGATTCATATTGATATAGAAAGCATACTGGTTTTTGAAACTTTACTGAATGCTTTGAAAATTTATCATTAGTTTTAAAAAAAGTTTTTTTTGTGGGCTTGACCCAATAGCTATTAGCCGTATAGATCTCTGCTCACATCCTTTGAATTATCCTATAACCCTTTGTCACTTTGTATTTTTCCATATCTATATGTTTCTAAATTTTCTAAAATAAAAATGCAATGAAACTAAACATTATTTAATTGGAAAAGGTTTTAGTTTTTTTTTGGGGGGGGGGGTGAATAATAAATTTTTCCAACACTTTTAAAATTCTTTATTAATTTGTAACAGTCAAGAGATATTGTTATTAAATAAAAACTTTACTAATCATAAATGGAAAATCTTACGGCAAAATATCTCCCCCAGTATTTTAAAAAGAATTTTGAATTTGTGTGTTTGTGTGTGTGTAAATGTGCCGACTTTTGTAATTACGGGTGTTCATAGGTGACATTATCAGAAAATAAGAGCAGTAACTATGGAAAAATTTAAATTTTATTGCTAATTTTCTAATTTTTCAACAAGCGTCTTCGTAAATTATTAGACTATAAACTTAAAGTATCTAAAATTCAATAAAATAGAATACTAAAATATTAAAACTTTTAAGAATACTGGGTAGTTAAAACCTATATTAAAAGAGCGTTTACGTTGTATTCATCATGTAATTTTAAAATAATTAGCTTTTCCTTAAATAAATTTACCAAACATCAGGCTATTGATAAATAAATGTGTCAACACTTCATAAAAATACCCACATCTGCGTTAAAAAAATGATTTTCTGCAATATTTTGAAATAAAAGTAATATTTGTTTCAATTCAAATTAATTAAACTTTAAATCCGCTAATTTTTCTCAAATAACATTTAAGAACATTATTTTATTTTTTAAAGATTTTTTTTTAAGAGAATAATGTCGTATTGTTAGATATGTCAATTTGGACGATTTTAATTTTACTGATAATCAGAAAAAAATTTCAATCAATTTTTAAATTCTGTTTTAAATACAGCAAAGTATTTTTCTTATTGGAAATATTAAATTTAATCTATTAGCTTGGAATTAAAGCTAAAATAAAAACTTCAAGGAATATTTTTCATTTTTAAACCTTAGCTAGCACATTTTTTCTCTCAAAGTACCTACTATTCAAATTCAATAGTAACTATTAAATCAACTAAATAACAATAAAGTACGTGTTAATAGTTAATAGGTTAACTTTTTCCAAAATATTACTGAAACATTAAAGGAGAAACTATCATTATTCAATAAATCCTTGGGTATAATAAACACCAACAAGTGCACAAAAGGAACACCCAACAAAAATCTAAACAGACATATAGCAATAAATTGTTTTCTACGTTTTTTTCATTTTATTTTTTATTGAACCAGACAAAGTCAAGTGAATACATTTTTTTCCCAGCTGACGCTTGTCTTCATCAATTTCTCGGCTTCCTTCTGAATTTAGATCAATATAAATGTTTACAATGCCACCTAAGCCTCCGACAACTTTGGGATTTGTGCCAACAGTCAGTAGACGCACTATAGAAAATGTAAAAAATAATGAGGTTTTCTAAGTCCGCCCAAAAGCAGCTGCTCGTCAGATGAAGTTGGTGAACACACTTGATCTGAGTGAGATGATTGGCTCTGTCTTATCAGTGCAAGAATGTGGGGTAGATTTAGGGGGAACAGAGTAGCGTGGAACATAATTTTAGATTTAAGTGTACACAAGTAATTTATAGATATGATCACAATGGAGATGACAGAAACTGATAAAATATTTAGACTGGTGTAATCAAACAGATAAATGAACAGAAAACATTATCTAAAATGAACAGTAGACAAATCGATATAGAAACTGATGTAGAAGCATATCGATGAAGATAGCATCAGACATGTAAAACGGTCTCATGCAGTTAGTAAGAGATGTTCGTTACCACGAAATAGTTTTAATGTTATTTCTTGTGATAAATGAAATAAATTTATGTATTTTTTTAGGAGAATCTTATGTAAAAGATACTGTTAATAAAATATCGTAGATTGACAGTTTTCAGGTATTAGACAT